TGGGGACTCTGAATATTCTTTGAGTTTTTTTTTCTCTACAAAATCCGCCTGGAGGAGGACGTGCCCGGCCTAAGAGCAGGCCGAGGCCGCCCAGGTGTCGTCGGAGACTCGCCCGCTGATCTTCTTCCACGGCATCGGGCTGGGCTTGGCGACCTACTGGACCCTGCTGGCGCGCCTGCCGCAGAAGGACCAGGTTCCCAGCCTCGAACCTATCCCTATCCCTAAGACTGACACGCCAGAAGGCGATGACAATCTTAGGGATCCGCCCTCAAAAAATGAGGGAATCCCTAAGATTGGCATCGTGATGAGGAGGTGCCCAGCATAGGGATAGGGATATGTTCCAGGCTGGTGATTAGGTCTTCTTCGAGATGCCGTGGATCGCCATGAACCCCCTGGCGGAGATCCCCAGCTCCGAGGACTACGCCCGCTGGGTGGTGGAGGTGCTGCAGGCCCACGAGCTGGCGGACTGCGTCGGCATGGGCCACTCGTTCGGCACGCTGCCCATCGCCTGGCTGCTCAGGCTGCGGGCAATACTCATGTCCATATCCAGTGCGTCTTGGATTTTTTTGGAAGGGGCGCCGCAAGGCCGAGGCGCACTGGATACGGATAAAAAATAGCCTTTTGGAGGCATGTTCTAATCCATATCCAGTGCGCTTCATGCTTCTTGGGAAGAGAGTCCGAAACTCCAAGGCGCACTGGATGTGGATATAGACATTGCCCGCACAGGCGCCACCCGGGGGTGCTCAAGCAGGTGATCCTGGTGGACCCCGTGTCGATCTTCCTGAACCTGCCGGACGTGTGCGTGAACTTCCTGTACAAGCCCCCTCGCACCTTCAGCGGGTTCATCATGAGCTGGTTCGGGGCCCGCGAGCTCGGGATAGCGAAGACCCTGATGCGGCACTTCTTCTGGACGGACAACGTGCTGTTTCCAGAGATGCTGCCCGCGGACTCGTCTGTCGTCCTGATGGGCAAGGACGGGATCCTGCCGGTCAGGGACATCTGGGAGGCACTCGTTATGACCACCGAGCCTGCCTTCCTCATGGGCGAAAGAAATGTCCGTATCCGCGGCCTTGCGGACCAGGCCCCTGGGCTGCCACCCCGCGGATGCGGGGCGTTCTTTCGCGGCTGCCCCGCGCGGAGCGTGTCCGTGCGAGGTGCGAGCGCGCATCCGCGGGATCGCGCCCCCGAATTCAGACTGCGAGGGCGCGGATACGGATTCGTATGTTCTGATGGGCCAATTTTCATCCACCGCTACCATAGCTAGGACGGGGGAGAAGGGAGGATGAGGAGGTCCTCCTCCTCCTCCTCCTCCTCCTCCTCCTCTTCCTCCTCCTCCTCCTTCTCCCCCTCCTACCTATGGCAGTGGTGGTGGAACATCGGCCCATCATGTTCGCCGCTCGTGACTTCCTTCGATAGGGGGCCACATGCGAACTCTACCCCTACCCCTACGATTTCTGAGGGGGAGGGTGGGGTTCACTTCGTTCGGGAGCTCCCGAGCATGTGGCCCCCTATTCGAGGGAGAACCGTCTACATGAGCGCAAGCCCTCGGGGACCCCTGCCGACTTTTGTCTCGGGCCAGCGCTGGGCCCCCCCTGTCGGTGCCTCCGGCGCTGCCCCTGGCGTGCCCTTCGTCGTCGTCGTCGTCGTCGTCGTCGTCGTCGTGGTGGTCGTCGTCGTCGTCGTGGTCGTCGTCGTCGTCGTCGTTGTCAGTCGTCGTCGTCTTCGTCATCGTAGTCGTCGCCCTCGTCGTCGTCGTCGTCGTCGTCGTCGTCGTCGTCGTCGTCGCCGTCGTCGTCGTCGTCGTCCCTCGCCCCTCTCCCCTCTCCCCTCTTCCCCTCCCTCCCTCCTCCTCCTGCTCCTGCTCCTCCTCCTCCTCCTCCTCCTCCTCCTGCTCCTCCTCCTCCTCCTCTACTTATTCTGCAATTTTGCGAGGTGGATCTCGTCTGAGAGGCTGAACGTTTGGCCACCAAGTTCGATAGCGTACTCATTTGAGTTCATAAGTTCCATTGCCCGAAGTAGAGTGTTGCCGACGTCGAGCCTGTCGTCTTTGTACATGAGCGCTTCGCGAAACCATGCTGGCACCAAGCAAGCGACCATGGTGTTGTCTCCACCATCTAGTTCGTTGTATTCGGCTCCGCTAGCAAGAGGCTTGTATTTTCTGAAATGCGCTGGCATGACCACAGGCATTCTGGGCTCTCGGGTGTCTTCCTTGCCCTTTGGGTCCTGGTAACACGGGTTCCAGAATGTTGTTTTGTATGAGTTATGGAGTGTCAGCATGGTTAGCGTTCATCCTGAAAGCCAGCTCATTGATTCGAAGGCGTTCGTCTTGAATACAGTGCTTGATTTCCATCCTTGTGTCGATTCGTCGGTTGCTAGGCTCCAACGCGGCGACCCCCAGAACGCGACTCCATACTTGCAGTCGTCGTTGATCACGTCCGTGTAGCATACAAAATTTCTGCCGCAGAATCTACAAGCCCCCCACGTCGGGCCTTTCGCCCCGTAGTCTTTCAATGTCGCGGCATGCTTGACCGTATCTTCACGGAGCTTGATTTCGCTTTCTTTAACATCTTGGCCAAGCTCTCTGGGACGGTCCAAGTCCGATATAATCAATTGCCGAAACACGTTTTTGCCGATGTTAGCCGCTGAACTACTCATGTTGAATGAAAAGTTGGCCACTGGAGCGTCTGCAGGCTGACGCCGCAACATGCAAACATGCATGCTAGCCAGGTGGGCTACGGACAGGGGGGAGTTTAGGGAAACGAGTTCGGCCCTCCTTTCTGGCTTGACCCTCTTCCAGGACCGATTTCCTCGTCGCAACGGCTGGATAAAGCTCAGATGCCTATAAGGTTTGGGTTCTCGGTTGGTGCCATGGGCTTGTCTTTTTGCGAGCTGTTGCGGACCATGAGAAGCACAGGGGGAGATTCAGGCAAATCGTTCGAAACGTCTTCTGCATCTGCTCTGAGCGCAGACGATTCTGCTGCTCCTCCTCTTTCTCCTCCTCCGGCTTCTCCTCCGATTCCTGCTCCTCGTCCTCCTCTCCCTCCCTCCCCTTCCTCCTCCTGCTCCTCCATTTTCCTTCCTCCTCCTACTCCTCCTCCTCCTTGTTCTCCCCCTCCTCCGCCCTCCTCCTTCCTCATCCCTTCATCTCCCTGTTCCTCCTTATCCTCCACCTCCTCCTATTCGTCGTCGTCCTCGTCTTCCTCCTCGCCCTCCTCCTCATCCTCCTCTTCCTCCTCCTCCTCGCCCTCCTCATCCTCCTCCTGTTCCTCCTCCTCTTCCTCCTCCTCCCTCCGTCGTCCTCCTCCTCCTTCTTCCCTTCGTTCCTCATATGCATCCGTACTTTCTGTCCCACTGTCTTCTCGCTACAAATAAATGAATAACCCTAAAGTTATTTTGGCACTTTCTCTCGGTTTTTTTTGGTGGTTGTTCGTGTTCAACTTGTCGGTTTTCGGCCAACCAGAACGGACGAAAAAGGGCAACCCCGAACATAACTCAAAATGGCAGCTTGCAATTGCCATATGGCGAGACGAAAATCTCCAAACGGAGAAAAAACTGACCCCCAAACGGACAAAACATCGATTTTGAAAACGGGAAGAACACGCCCCAGGCGGTCTATGAACATTTTGTAAGCCCCAGGGCCAGCAGAAAACGACTCAGGATGAAAAGCCCGTCGCCAGCAAGAGGTCCAGACCTCTGGAGCGCCACGCCGAGAAAAAACATCGCGGCGTCGGATACCTGGGAGACGAGCGGGAATGGGGCATGCCTTGACGTCCTCCGATCTGATTTTTCAATCCGCAGCCCCAGAGTTCCCGCCCCGATTGAAAAAGCATTCATTGGAAACTCGGGTGGGGGGGCCTTGGGCCAGCGGTCGTTCCGGGGCCCTCCCGGCGTCTACACGAGTGTGTCGAAATTCCCGCACGTGCGCCAGCTGGTCGTCGACGACATGCACCACGGCCAGTTCCTATCGAGGATGCCTGTGGGCGAGCCGCCGCCGACCACCGTCAGTATCGTAGGAAACGCGTGCGCGTGCCCATCGTCGGTCGACTGCACGTTAAAGCAACCCCCCGCCAGAGTGACCTCAGGTGCGGGCCCACTGGCTCAGCCACATGCAAAGTGGTGGGGGGGGACGGGGGGGGCTTCTTAGAAGCACCCCTGCTTCTGAGAGGGCGCGGGCCCTGCCTGTAGATGCTAGGCCGGCGCCTTCCAAGAAGCAGCCTCTTCCTAAGAGGCTTTCCCCCCTTCTCCTACCCCATTGTGCGCGCCGCCATCCAGGGTCTCCGATCGCTGAATGCGATTCGGTAGCACCGGCTTGCGCACTCTGGTGTGCCCCCCCTCGAGCCGCGCACCACAGCCCACTCTTGCCCAGGGTCGCTCCTTCCGCGTGGCCGAGTCGGGCTGTCTGCGCGCTTGGATTTGCCCACGCTGCGCCCCTGTCGTCCGTGCATTCAAGGTCACTCCTGTCCAGGGCTCGAGCCAAACGGTGTTTTGGCGATGCCGTGGCCCTGTCTTCGTTTCGACTTCTTCTCGCAGCAGAGGCAGGACGAAGACACAGCGAAGGACAACGAAAGCAGAGCGAAAACGGGAGACACGGCTCCGCTCGAGCCCTGCTCTGGCCTGGGGTCACTCTTCGGGGGCCACGTGCGAACCCTACCCCTACCCCCCACGATTTCTGAGGGGTTCACTTCGTTGGGGAGCTCCCGAGTGAAGTGAACCCCACCCTCCCCCTCAGAAATCGTGGGGGGTAGGGGTAGAGTTCGCATGTGGCACCCTATCGAAGCAAGTCACGAGCGGCGAACATGATGGGCCGATGTTCCACCACCACTGCCATAGGTAGGAGGGGGAGAAGGAGGAGGAGGAAGAGGAGGAGGAGGAGGAGGAGGAGGAGGAGGACCTCCTCATCCTCCCTCGATTTCTGAGGGGGGTAGGGGTAGGGTTCGCACGTGGCCCCCTACGTGCGCTCGCGGGAGCCCCGGACGGCGGCCGCGCCTGCAGGAGGCCGCCTCCTGATCCCCTGCCGATCACGGGCGTGACCGGGCGAGGGGGGGAGAGGGGTGGGGAGTGGGAAGGGGGAGAGCGGGGAGGGGATCAGTCACGACGGCGACGACGACGACGACGACGACGAAGACGACGACGACGACGCTTCCCGGCCCCCAGGTCGCTAGAGTGACCCCCCGTGACAAGAGCCTAAACGGGTTTCGGCACTGCCGATGAGGGTCGGCCACGCGCCCAGGGGGGCAGGGGCAGGGGGTAAGGCTTCTTAGGTGCACCCCCTGCTCCTTAGAAGGCGCGGGCCCTGTCTTTGGCTGTAGGGCGAAGGATTGCAACAAAGAAAAAAACCCAGGATTGCAAAAAAAAACCAAGGGTTTTTTTTGCAATCCTGCGCCTTCCAAGAAGCGGCCTCCTCCTGGGATTCAGTCGGGCGTGTCCCTCTACAGGAGGACTATTCGAAAAGAGTCAGAAAGATAGTCTGGGGACGATTTTTTTTTGGGGGGGGGGGGGGCCAATGGTTGAGAACTTCTCGACTGCTTGTGATCTTTCGTCCAAGCTCCGCCTGTAGGAGGACATGCCCGACCTAATCCTGGGAAGCCTCCCAGCCTCCCCCTCCTCCTCCTCCTCATCCTCCCCTCCTCCTCCTCCTCACCCTCCTCCTCCTCCTCCTCCTCATCCCCCCTCCTCCCCCTCCTCCTCCTCCTCCTCCTACCTCCTGCCTCTCCCTCCCTCCTCCTCCTCCTCCTCCTCCTTCTCCCCCCTGCCCCCTTGTTCGCGCCGCCGCGGGGAGGGCCCAGGCCTCCTCGGGCCATGCCAAGATCTAGGTCGGGCGCGTCCCTCGACAGGGGGAATCTTTGAGAATAGTCAAAAAACAGGGGACGAATTTTCGTGCCTTTTCGACTGTTTTTTTGGTTTTTGTTGGGCAATTTTCTAAAACAATTACCTTCCGAAATCCGCCTGTAGGAGGACACGCCCAACCTAAGACACAATCGCGACGCAAGGTCTGTCGCCGTCTTCGGCCTCGGGGGGCTCACGCGGGACCCCGGGACCGTCCACACGACCGACTGAGGAGGAAGAACCGGTCCTGGGGAACGGGTCGAGACCTCTGGGGGTCGACGTTGGGGAAGAAAATCATGGCGGTGGGGGTCTGGGGGTGGGGGGGGAGGGGGCCGGTCACGTCGCGATTCGCGCCAGCGTCGTCTGGCAAACTCTGAGACTGGCTCATTCCCAGACGGCGCCGGCGCGACTCGTGACGTGACCAGGGGGGGGAGCGGGGGGGGGAGGGCGGGGCCGGTCACGGCGGGCTATATCGCGAGGGACCCAAGACGGGCTCGGGCCATGGTGGAAAGTTGCGGGAAGCGTGCGGGCACTCTCTTCTATGTTTTCGAGGGCCGCTGGGGCACAGGGGCACGATGCTGCCTCGGGCATCCCTGGGGCCCTCTTAGCTGCCGTCTCAAGCGCGTCTTGGGTCGGCGTCCACGTGAGAACCCTACCCCCCCCACCGCCCACGATTTCTAAGGGGGGGTGGGGGTGGGGGTTCCTGTCGCTCGGGGGAGCGCCCGAGCGAAGTGAACCCCGACCCCCTCTTCGAAATCGTGGGGGGTGGGGGTCGGGCTCACACGTGGTCACCTCTTTGGGGGGCCTCCTGGTTGCCTGTCGGACCGTCTCGGGTGCCTCTTGTGCCTTCTTCGCGGCCCCTCGGGCTCTCGGGCGTCTTCCGCAGGCCTGTGCCGCCTCTCGGGCCACCTGGGGCCCCCCTTGGGGTGGGTCGTCGTTTGCTGTCTTGAGGCCCTCCTTGGGCCCCTGAAGGGCTCCGCCTGGGCGCTCTTGGGAGCATCGTGGGCGGAAGAGCCTGGGATCCTCTTATGCCTTCGCAGGCCCCCCTGGGGCTTTAGGGCTGCTCTCAGAGCCGCTCGGGCCGCCTCTGCGGCCTCTTGGGGCCCCCGTGGGCTCCTCTCCTGGACGCCTCTTGGGGCCTCCGGGGCTGCCCGTGGGTCCTCTTCGGTCATCGCGCCGGCCTCTCGTGGCCCGCCTCGGGCCGTCCGGGGGGGCATCTTGGAGGCCGTCTGGGGCCAAGACACCAACGAGAACGCGATCGGCGGCGGTGGCCTATCAGGGCCGCCTGCGATCCGATTCGATGCGATTCGTTCCGCCAGCCAGTCCGATTCTGTTCGATTCGTCTCGCTTCAGCGGCACCGGCCGCGGCCAGTCGGAGCCCGGGGGCGGCGATCCGATGCGGGACGATTCGTTGGCGATCAGGCCCGTCTCCGATCCTGTCCGATGCCGCGATTCGACGCAGCTCGGGCCTGCCTGTGTTGAGGTGTTGCGGAGCAGAATCAAGAACACTCAGTTGTTTTTTGCCACGCCCGACCAGGCTAAGGACGGGACCATGCGTTGAGGCGGATCGAAGACGCCTCCAGCGAGTCGTCGCCGCCCCCTGCTTTTTCGGAGACCCCTAGGTGGCCCAACGTTGGCCATAGTTAGGCCAAGCTGCTGGCCTGGGCGTTCGCC